TGATCTACAGCATGAGTCCAATCGTCCCGAGCCAAAATCAGGTTAGTTGCACATGAACGATTTTTTTGAAACCCGTGCTGGGCTGGGGATAGTAGGCCATTTTTCTCCAGATGATCCACTACGGAATCTGCAACAATAGATTTCATGACTTTGGACAACACTGGGAGGAGCGTGACGGGTCGTTAGTTGGCTGGGTCACTACGGCAGCCACCTTTGTAAATTGATGAAATGACACCTTTTTCCACACCTGAGGAAGCAAGGTATCTTCAAACAGTTTTTGGTATAGCCCACTTAGAGGATCGGCTGTGACTTGCCAGAGTGATAAGGGCTTGTGAATGGATGTTATCTATAAACCCGGTGATGAGTTCTTCTTTAAAGCCATGAGCTTAGCCTTTACCTTTTCAAGGGGAAAAGATAATGTCTGTTAGTAATGGGTAAGGAATATCACAGCCGTGAAAGGAAGACAGAAGGGTTCCTCAGACCAAGAAAAGCGTAAAATTTGCATAGTCAACCGGAAAAACGTCAAATTATGCACTTTTACAACCTGAATGCGACAGAATGAGTAAAACCACTAGCGGTCTACAAGCGTTATAGAGTTTACAGTACAACTGTGCAGTTGTACCGTTTCTGGGGAAATTGTCGTCATTTTGATCATTTTTGAAGGGTAAAATATATGTTGGTACTTCTAGAGCTTGGGGTGACATTAGTTTGAGTAAGCAACACAAAATTTCACAAGATTACTCGAGACTCCTTTGAGACTAAGGAATATTGTACTGGGCTTCTAGAATTAAAAAAAAATCAACCTTGAAGCTGTCCAAAAATTAGACATATCACCAGCATACACCAACGTTTTTCAGCACACTGGTTGCTTAATTTTTAAATCCTTGTAAACCATTATTGTGACACGGAACCGCTTGAGCACCAGTTTGGCATGATAATAATTATGTCAACTGTTGTGTGACGGTTCAATGATAGCAACCTGCTGCGCACGGTAGGTTCACGACTTGAGACTGCCAGTAACGTATCGATTTTCAGTCACACTGACCGGACAGCTGTTGTTCATTGTTATTAAAACTGGTTCAGCTTATATAACGTCTGTATTGGTGGCCTTCTCATGGTCACAGGACAAAAAAATCCTAAATGGTTCACGTGTTGGCAAGCGGTTTCCAAAGTAGAAGAAAGGTGAACTTGTTATAAATCCTGGCAAAAATTGAGAACATCTGTAACACTATCATTGCATATTTTAGCACACATGTAGGGGAAGTGACAGATAAATCGAATAAAGCTGTGACTCTAACGTGTTTGATTCGTGAGTTTCATAGTGAGTTTCATGGTGGCCACTAAGTTTGGCAACCCTCAGTCACCGTCCATACTGGATTTAGTGTTGACCAATGAGGAGCTGATGGTAGAGTCTGTCAATGTGACTTCTCCCATAGGACGTAGCGATCATGCAGTACATATATTCAAATACGTCTGTTACGCATCGATTCAAGGAAGTTACTCTGGTAACACGCGCAGACCTATAGACTACACACTGTTGAATAACTTGGCACTCTCTGCTCAGTGGGTTTCTTATGACGAGGAAGCTAATCCGTTGGTTGCATGGAAGAAATTTACTGAAAATCTCACAAATATAATAACATCCGTGACTAAAACTAGAGTAATCACCAAATCGGGCATCCGAAATTCAACCTATTCGAAGCCGCACAAAGACATGGCTATCGGCGAGGGATTTAGCCTGGCGAGATTATAATCATCTTCCGAATGCTGACACATGGAATAATTACCGTATGCTGAGGAACCACTGCACCAAGCTGATTTCGTGAGGATAAAGTGAAATACCAAGAGGTGCTAGCACAAAAATTAATTTCTAACCCTAAGCTGTTGTACTAACACGTCAACTCCATTTGGAAAGTAAAGTTTGGTATACCGGTACTAAGTAGCACTGGAAGAGTTGCAGCCATTCCAATGGAAGCAGGGGAAATGCTGAAAATTCATTATTATTTCAACGTATTCGCAGCACCGCAGGTTGAAGGTTTACAACTACCCCAACGGTTGCATCATCTTCCACATCCTTCACTCACCTACGTATCATTTACTGCTGAAAACGTCAAAGCAAAACTAATGGCTTTGC